GATGTTTTATTGATATCCAGTATTCCGATTTAGAGTATTCCACTTTATTTAGCTACTTAACTTTAGTGATCATCAAGTTTCTTCTGTAGTGGAATTAATGTCATATTATGCATGCATACTCTTATTGTTATGGCCCACCAGCAGATGGAGACATTAAATACAATAGTTTTCTTTTTTTATATTTTGTTTTTATTGGCATCCAGAGGATTTATGAAAAATACTGTTACAAATACTTAACTACATAACTGTTTTGGCAGTTTTATATATATTATATCTGACAAAAAAGAAAAGAAAAAAGCGCTTAAAGGAAATAAATAATTATACAAGCCCAAAAACAAACAAGCAGATTAAAAAAAAGCGTACAGACATTATACATTTCAGAAAAACAAAAGAAAACACAACATTTAAGTCACATTCCACTGGATTCCTGAATGAAGGACTTCACTATTGTTTTAGTCCAGAAGTCCCATTTCAATCAGTTAGGTCCCAAATAAAGTGAAAATAAATAAATCAACTGATTAAATGGGATAACAGTGGCTATGTGAAAATGTACACTTTTACTTGTCACTTGTTATTTTGTTTACAAACATAGGAAATCATAATAAAAGTTCCTTCCCCTGTGGCCATATTTCACAGGCAGTAAATGCTGGTACCAAAATGAAACTATGTACACTACTGAACACACAGGAGGAGTGGCATTATTAAAAATATGCACAGAAGTCTCACACAGATTCTGGGTTTTGGGGTTTAATAAAGTCATGCTACCATGACCATATATTGGTAAATTTCTCTTGTTGTATTCTGAGGGAATATCTCACTTTCTCCAGTGTATATATTTGATGGACTATGTCGAGCCAAACTTCAAATGAGGGAGTGTGAGGCTTCAGCCACTTACGAGTTATGGCTTTCTTACATGCAGCCAGCACAGTTGTCAAGAGGGTCCTACCTTTGGAGTTTATCTCTTCTGGACTATTGCACTGATATAAAACCTCAAATCTGAAAGGGATATTGGTTCTGAACACTCTCTCTAAGATCTGATGGATATTCTTCCAGTAAGAAGAATATCCATTTGCGACCTGGCATTGCCTGCAACAATCCAAGTTGATAGCTCTGTGTTGTTTCTGTTGGGGAGTAATGAAAAACCGAACCAAACTCTTCCAACAGAACTCCCTCCAAATAAGGGAACATGTAGTTTTATACTGATGACATGCCGATATTATCGTGCATCCCTGTTGATTATAAATACCAGAAGTAAGAAATAAGATTAAAAAAAAGTCAGTGAATATATTTTTTAATCTCTTTAATTCTTTGACAGATTATTAGATAATTAATGCATTTGCACCAGTCTTGTAGAGGTGTTACTGTGGCAACACTGCCTTTAATATGAAGAGACAGAAGGTGAAGCTGAAAATGGGCCGAAACTCAGGAGGTGACAGTCTGAGTGTGTGTGTGTGTGTGTGTGAGTGATAATGAAGCAAACAGGGAAGTTATTTTAACTAAGGTGTGAAGCTGTGCTGTTAGTCATCAACACACACAGAGTGTGAGAGTGAGAAGCGTTCTGCCCACAGAGACTGACAAAGGTCCGACTGCTGACTTCCCACCTGAGCACACTCTTCTCAATGATTCACAGATCTGAGGTCTCATTTAGAAACACTGCTACGCACAAAACGAGGCCTGAATAGGGCGCACGCCACGTCCAACGCAGAAGTCATGATATATAAAAACAGACTTTATGGAAGAAACTTTGACTCATGTTTACGAACATTTTGGAGACAGGAATTTTGCGATGCAGATGGTGAGTTGGAAGCCTGATTTTAGTAACTGTCAAATATTTTTTGGCGTCAGGAGCAGTGACCTCCTGTAGTCCTGTCGCCATGAGGTTGCCAAGTGGAAGAGCCAGGCCAACTGCTTCTTTATGCTCAGCCAGGGGTGTTCAAACATTTTTGAAGGGGGGCCAGATTAGATCATGTGACAATACCTCGGGGCCCACTGTTTCCAGCATCATATGGGTTATTAACAAACACATACGCAAATAAGACAAATGCAACGGTTTTATCTTTTGGTGAAAAGGCAGCGGCCCTCACTGTTGACTTAATGCCTCTTTGCTGTGACCATGTCTGTTACCGAGCAGGAAATATCTGCTCTTAGGCAACTGTTCGTTTGCTCGTTTACCATCTATTTAGCTGCCTGTGTAGTTTCTACTTGTTACATGTCTACAAACTGTGTGACAGTCCTGCTATTATGAGGTGAACGGAAAAAACAATACTGAGTGGCAGGCCACATATTGTGTATTTTGTTCAAGCCACAGGTCTTTTAAAATTGGTCCACAGGCCACGACTAGCCTTCGGGCTGGACTTTGCCAAGCTAACTGCCTCTAGCTTAATTTTCATTGTACAGACATGACAAGCGTCTAAATCTCAAACACAGCAAGAAAGTGAATATTTCTCAACATGTCGAACTACAGTACAGGCCAAAAGTTTGGACACACCTTCTCATTCAATGCATTTTCTTTATTTTCATGACTATTTACATTGTAGATTCTCACTGAAGGCATCAAAACTATGAATGAACACATGTGGAGTTATGTACTTAACAAAAAAAGGTGAAATAACTGAAAACATGTTTTATATTCTAGTTTCTTCAAAATAGCCACCCTTTGCTCTGATTACTGCTTTGCACACTCTTGGCATTCTCTCCATGAGCTTCAAGAGGTAGTCACCTGAAATGGTTTCCACTTCACAGGTGTGCCTTATCAGGGTTAATTAGTGGAATTTCTTGCTTTATCAATGGGGTTGGGACCATCAGTTGTGTTGTGCAGAAGTCAGGTTAATACACAGCCGACAGCCCTATTGGACAACTGTTAAAATTCATATTATGGCAAGAACCAATCAGCTAACTAAAGAAAAACGAGTGGCCATCATTACTTTAAGAAATGAAGGTCAGTCAGTCCGGAAAATTGCAAAAACTTTAAATGTGTCCCCAAGTGGAGTCGCAAAAACCATCAAGCGCTACAACGAAACTGGCACACATGAGGACCGACCCAGGAAAGGAAGACCAAGAGTCACCTCTGCTTCTGAGGATAAGTTCATCCGAGTCACCAGCCTCAGAAATCGCAAGTTAACAGCAGCTCAGATCAGAGACCAGATGAATGCCACACAGAGTTCTAGCAGCAGACCCATCTCTAGAACAACTGTTAAGAGGAGACTGCGCCAATCAGGCCTTCATGGTCAAATAGCTGCTAGGAAACCACTGCTAAGGAGAGGCAACAAGCAGAAGAGATTTGTTTGGGCCAAGAAACACAAGGAATGGACATTAGACCAGTGGAAATCTGTGCTTTGGTCTGATGAGTCCAAATTTGAGATCTTTGGTTCCAACCGCCGTGTCTTTGTGAGACGCAGAAAAGGTGAACGGATGGATTCCACATGCCTGGTTCCCACTGTGAAGCATGGAGGAGGAGGTGTGATGGTGTGGGGGTGTTTTGCTGGTGACACTGTTGGGGATTTATTCAAAATTGAAGGCACACTGAACCAGCATGGCTACCACAGCATCCTGCAGCGACATGCCATCCCATCCGGTTTGCGTTTAGTTGGACGATCATTTATTTTTCAACAGGACAATGACCCCAAACACACCTCCAGGCTGTGTAAGGGCTATTTGACCAAGAAGGAGAGTGATGGAGTGCTGCGGCAGATGACCTGGCCTCCACAGTCACCGGACCTGAACCCAATCGAGATGGTTTGGGGTGAGCTGGACCGCAGAGTGAAGGCAAAGGGGCCAACAAGTGCTAAACACCTCTGGGAACTCCTTCAAGACTGTTGGAAAACCATTTCAGGTGACTACCTCTTGAAGCTCATGGAGAGAATGCCAAGAGTGTGCAAAGCAGTAATCAGAGCAAAGGGTGGCTATTTTGAAGAAACTAGAATATAAAACATGTTTTCAGTTATTTCACCTTTTTTTGTTAAGTACATAACTCCACATGTGTTCATTCATAGTTTTGATGCCTTCAGTGAGAATCTACAATGTAAATAGTCATGAAAATAAAGAAAACGCATTGAATGAGAAGGTGTGTCCAAACTTTTGGCCTGTACTGTATTTCTCTAACTTCCTGAGACCCTGTGTCTCCATATGAGGACATCACATTTTGAGTCTACTTGACCTCGCACTTCATTCTACTAACTTAGACCTGTTGTCCTTGTTCATGCAATGCATGTAAAAACAAGATGGCAGCCATCTCTGCCAAGCCATTCTGCAGCCGATCCCAACAGAAGTGGACAAGGTCCAAAACCTGATCACATTTAAGAGTTGAAACTTGTTTATTTTACTGTTGTCCCCTTTGTGGACACTGGGATTTAATTATTGTTGACAATGTTTAGTTTTTTTAAATTAATCAGCTGTCAACAAGCTGCTATCAGTTTGTGGTTCAGTCAATGTGAAGTATCGTCCGGTGTGCAGAGGATTGTGGGTCAGAATAGCCAGAAAAGCATGCTGGCTTTCATACGACCAATAAATACGACCACATGTAGTGGAACATCCTGCTATTTTTGCATACTGCATTTCACATGCTATGTTTTGGGACATACTAAATCATTTTCTGCTATACTATAGTATGGTAGTATGGGAGCGCATAGAAAGTCTTCATGCACAAAGCCAGCTCCATAAAATAATACGTTTCCCAAGTTTGGTGTGGAGAAACTTGACTGGCCTGCACAGAGCCTCGACCTCAACCCTATCCAGCAGCTTCAGGATGAACACACACAGTGAGCCCGGCCGTATCACCAAACATCAGTGCTGAACCTCTCCTGAAACCCCTGCAGCATGGCTCTGGGATAAAAAGTCAAACTATCACATGACTGAAGTGTTTGTCCACAAACTTCTGGCCACGCCATGTAAACACGAGGACGATGACTGCCACTTCGTAACAGTGTGAACAGTGAAGCCGTGTGGCTGCTGAGAGAACTTCACCTCTGAATGAAACTTCACTGAGTTCAAATCAGAGAAAAAACTTTATTGAGACAAAAATATTAAAAAACACTGATTATAAAAGAAGAGAGAGAAAGACAGAAAGATCCTCCACCTCAACAGACACACACTCATACACACTCTCACTCACACACACGCGTACACAAAGTGTAGTGAATCAGTTCAACCATCTGTCCATAGAGCCCCCTCTCTTCTTCAGGCTGCAGGTATCCCATGATGCATTGCGTAATGTCACCAGCCAAACATGTACTCCATCGCTTTGGAAACAAAACTGTCGTCCTTCCTGGGTGTCTGTCTGTCTGCTACCACCTGGAGACAGACACACAGATTAATCTCTATGGTCAATCAAATGCACAGTGAAGACGTCAGGTAAGTGAATCTCGAGGTTAGAGGTCACCTGGTAGTCGCTGCCGGAGTTTCTGTAAGCGGCGCTGAGCGGCCTGATGGCGGAGCGAGGAGTGGAGGGGAGGACGGAGGAGGAGAAGGAGGTGGAGAGGGGAGAAGAGACAGCGGCACAGCTGTCCATCACGCTCTGAGAAAGAGAGAGAAGAGGATTCAAACTGTGCTCAGTGTCACCTGATGAGACGTTGAGTAAAGACGGCTACTGACCTTGTCTATGCAGGGTTTGACTCCCACCATGATGGCGTCACCAAACACTTTGCCATCTTTCGACAGAGCTTTCCTGGCCTGAAGTCTGGACTGATACTGAAGGTGCATCCAGTTACCAGGAGACGCCATCTGTCAGTAAAACATCAATACACCCATTAGTACTCCACACAGGCTCCAGCACTTATAACAGGACTCTGAATGGTCACAGCAGGGGCGCTATAGACAATACACACTGGGGATGCACCAATCTGTCTTTTGTCTTTTACCATCTTTTTCAAAACACACATTAAACATGGCTTAATTGAGACAATTTCAAACACAAGTAAACAAATTAGCCTCCTCATAACTGACAACATTCACAGACAAAACACTTCTCTCTTGCTGGAAATATTTTCCCCACAAATACATCATGCTAACTTTATTAGCACAAGCCTATGGCATTTTACATTGTATAAAATAGCCTAGCAGCTAACAGAGTTTTCCTCTACTCATATGAAGCCAGGATAAATCACCCACAAAACTTCTGATAAGCGCTTATGATTTGATGTATGTAATGATATATCGATTATATATAATTATAATTATTTAGGAAGTATGCACATGCCAGTATGTATCACTTAGATTTTGAATTAGTAATATACGGGACATATTTCATGTAACATTTTTATGAAGATATTTTTAAACAATAGCCGAAACTTTTCCATAACATTCTGGTTAATTCCAAACTATTTCTAGGCCTCAAATTTCCTTTGCTTTGACCTTGGGAACCCCGTGTTTAGGCTGCTTTCACACCCAACCTGTTTGTTGGTTTAGCGCAGTGCATTTGGGCTGCTGTCAATCAAACCCTGGGGCAAACAATTGAACCGAAACCACCTGTAAAGATGGTTTTCCGTCCGCTGTCAAGCCGACTCTGGTGCTGTTTGTTTGTGGTGTAAACAGACTTTTTAATAGCAGAAGTGTGATTTCAGCATCATTTCACAAGCTGAACTACTAATAAATCCTGTTCAGGAAGCGATCTTATAATTAATTCATATAAGGTCATGCATACAGCCTGTTTATGCAAATCATCTGGTAACCATGGTAAAATTTATGCACATCAGCGCAGGTTCTTCCCTGTTTAAAAAGCTGTTAAAGTGATGTGCTTGTATCTGACTCCACATACTTTGTCAGTCCATTAGGTTCATTAAAAAGTGACAGTGATCTCACAGTAATAACCCCAGAATCATTACTGTTCCCATCTCCAGTCATTATTCTTAACGTGCAGTCGATCTGCAGTCTAATAATAATAATGCTGCTCATAGTCAGTTCTCTGTGAGCTCTGTGACATAAATTAACATAGATATACACATCGGAGGTGTCAAAGCGCTGCAGGAACTTCTGTCAGTCACCAGAGTTTGATTTCCCCTTGAAGGTCCTGATGATACAGGATGACATTTGCCAAAACTGTGCAATCATCGTGTCACGCATTACAAGATCTTTCACCAGGAGGAATCTCCAATGAATGTGTCAAGTGGTGCATGAGTTGAACCACAGCTCAGGATTGAGGTGGCGCTTACGAGAAAATATCAAAGTCAAAAAGTGACATCATTAGATGCTTCTCAGCCCTTCACCTGTGTGTGGATCTTTTTTCCTCACAAACCAAAAGCAACCTGATAAATGTTACACAGCTCCTCCAGGGGTTATTTTAGGTTTTTATTTTAGGTTTTTATTTTAGTCGCTAAAAGTTTGTTGTTAGTAAAATATGATGGCAGTGCTCGTTTCTAGCATCACACTCCACTGAACAGAACTTTGTGTGTGTCTCACCGTGTGTTTGAGGATGTTTCCATACTGAGCGAACTGCAGCAGGATGTAGGAGGCTGACGCTGGAGGAAAACTGACAAACACAAACACAGACAGTTCATGCGTCAGTATTCACAGTATATTAAACAGTGGAGCAGTGTCAGTTGTATATTTAGGAGTATAAATACCCAAACACAGTGACCCAGGTCTGATCCAGCTGGTCGTCAGATGACAGAGTCTCTCCCTGACTGTAGAAGGGATCCACCTGAGCTGGAGACAGGCACAGCTGCTGCACACCTGGAGACAGAGACAAGTACAAGGACACAAGGGAGAGAAGTGAATGCAGGCAGGGTGATTACTGAGGGTTTTTGTTGTCCAGCAGAAAATCAAATATAGCAGACGTATGCATAAGAGGGCAGCAAAGAACGTGTCAGATATTCTGAATCATGAGAAACCCACTTCCTCTCAGCGCTCACCCAAACAAATGTCCTGCTTTATTGATCACCTGAATGTACCTGGATCTTGAATTAAGTGTCTTGAGCAGTGCCGAAACTCAGCTTCAGGAAATAGCAAGTATCGCCGCATAACGATGGAGTAAAATGAAAATAATGCAATGTAATAAGCCACATAATTTTTATCAGGGCTGCATGATGTGCAAACAATCATACTGTGAGTACTGTGACAGGTATTACTGTTGCAATACGAGTCATGATTTTAGTGGTAATGGCAACTTTTGCATTTAATTTTCACATAAAAAAAAATCTAAAAATGGTGATGATGTGATTTTTGCTGAAGTCTGTATCAAACAAGCATGTTTCATTATGTCTGGAATATGATTTGTAGGCTGGGGTGTCTCTGTAAAACAACTTTTTAACCCTGCTCACAAAGATTTTTAATTGTTTCAAAAACCTACTTTATATTTTTACAGTCATGTTATAGTTCTGTGTCCTGAGCTGCAAACATTTAAACCTCTGTAGCTCCAGTGCTGTGTGCACAAAGTTAACGTACAGCCCTGATATTTATTTTATATGTTTGTTTCATTTCCATGTTGTGCAGCTGTATATTTCCATTTTATTTTGATCACAGTCTGTTTTTATAAAAGTGCTCGTGACATGTCAAATGTGGCTTTGACTTGCAGCTGAACATGTCGCCCATCTTGTAGAAAATACTGACTTTTGTCCACATGGCCCAGCCCTAGTATCACTGTTGTTACAGAGTCAGAGTAAGTGTTACCAGTAGTGGGGACAATGTCAGTGTGTACCTGGAGTTGAGGCCCCTCGTGCCGACAGAGGAGAATGCATAACTGGAAAAGACTGAAGAGACACACAGAGACATGTTGTTTAAAACAAAATCCAGACTGCGATCACATTTTATCATCATAACTGATTCTGTTTTCAGACAGCAGCTGGGTACTAACCTGCCTATGTGTGTTGAGTGGCGTGGCCACATTGATCAGGTCGTCATGGATACTGCGAACAGGGGGGGCTCCGCTCTTATCTTTCGGGGTGGGGACGACAGGCTGCGGGGCCGAGCCTCCACCTCCTCCTAAAGTACAGGACGTAACACACTGATAAACCCACAGAGTAAACATCAATCAGCTGCAGACAGGCAGTCCTCCTGCTGGTGTACCTGTGCTCTCGATGATGGGCGAGGTCAGGCTGAAGGGGCGTGGCTGTGGGCTTGCCGGAGCTGGCAGGTCCCCCATCAGAAAGCCGGGCAGGAACTGGGCTCCAGGGGTCGGCTTGGGAGAGGTGGGAGAGCCCAGGGTCATTGGTTCAGTTCCCACTGAGAGACAGGGACAGGTTGAGACAAGCGGTCACCATAAACTCTTAACCCCATATGAGCCAGTTCACAGCCTCGGGTCCTCTCAGGTGTTTCTGGCTGTTCCAAAGTCTAAAATCTAAAGGTGGCTGTGCTTCTGACGTCAGAGCTTCTCAGCTTTGAAACAGCCTGCCTGAGGAGATAAGACTCACAGAATCACTGACCTCTTTTAAATCACTTTTTAAAACCCAGTTTTATAGACTTCCTCCAGGGGAGGTGCACTGTTTTTTTGCCTGCTCATTATTTACCTCACAATTAATAATAACATTTTAAATTTTGGTTTACATTGTACAGATTCAACAGAAACATTCGTCTACCATCTTTAATGAATTGGGAAATATCTGCAACTTGAAAAAAGGGTTATTTTTTGTTTTTGTGTGCATTTTCCCATCATATGTAACTGCTGTTGAATGACCTGCTGTTTTTTTGTAAGATCTTCTACAATATATTATATGAAAAAAAACAGATGCTTGGCTCTGTGAGTTGAATGCAATGATTATACATGAAAATAGTAATAATACTAACTTTATTTGTGGAGCTCTTTTTGGGCTGAAAGCACAAAGTCCTTTCCAAGGTGAAGAAAATACAAACCAAAGGTGACACTAATAAAACATAGGCATATATAACATGTGCACTTAAACACATATATACCCGTAAGCATGCAGACATTAACACATGGCTGCAAATACACACACTCATAAACAAAATAAGTCTATCAACTGTCAGGAAAGGCCGTTCTGTAAAAGTAAGTTTTGAGACAAGATTTAGAGACGTGAACAGAGTCAGCTGATCTGATGCTCAGTGAGAGGCTGATCCTAAGCCGAGGAGTAGGAACTGAAAAGGCTCGACCATCCTTCGTCTTAAACCTCGACTCTGGAATAGTTGGAAGACCCAGACCAGCAGACCTGAGGGGCCTGTCTGGACGGTATGGTGTGAGAAACTCCAGTGCCAGATCATCGAGAGCCCTTTGTGTTATTTAAAACACTTTAAAATGGATTCTGAAAGAGACTGGGAGCCAACTCAGGGAGGCCAAAATAGGTGTGATGTGTGAGGATAGTTGTGTTTTGGTCAAAAGTATAGCTGCTGAATTTTGAACATGTGGAGCTGAATCAGCTGATGTATAGCTCGGTTGTTAAGGCAGGTGAACGAGGCATTAAAATAAGTGCTACTGAAGGACAGAAGTGACCTACATTTAGAGATATTCCTCAGCTGGTAAAACAAGACTGCACAACATTCTTCGCATTGCTCCACCGTCAAATTACTACAGTTCTGGGTCCACTTCCAGACCAGCATGTTTAGTACAAGTTCATATTAAACTACTGAGTCTGAACCAGACATGTCAGAGACCACTTCAGTCCTGTTTGATGAGGTCTGTGTGTTTCAAATCACTTATTATCACAATGCACAGCGACTTCAGAGAAGCAGCCGTTGGCAATTAACTTCTTGGATCTGAGGCTCAAAACAAAGCTCATTAAATATGTATGAAAAGAAATTAAAGTAAAAATGAGAATCTAAAACATAAATCAGTGCAGAGGATAAAATATGGATAAATATATACAATATATAGTAACTACAAATGGAATAAACAGTGATGGAAACAGGGGTGTGGTTAATATTTATGTGTAATGAGAAGTAGTAAATATATAGATACAGAGATGTAAACAGGAAATTAAAGTATATAAAGGCAAATGACAATACAATGATCCAAAACAACTGTGTGGTGACTTAAATTACAGCAGCAGTAACATACATGAAATCTGTGCTCTCATTATTTTGCTATCAGTCTGTGTGAGCATGATAAACACTTTGACACATTTATAACCCACTGATTGACTCTAATAAACGAGCTAACAGGTGTGTGTGAGCAAACAGATGATTAATAAACATGTTAATAACGGCAGAACACATAAATAAGCGGACACGAATAGACAGAGACCTTATAAAACCTTTTCTTTACCTTGTAAGTCCATCTCCGTTTCGTTACTTTCTGGCCGCGAGTTTCAAAAGTAGGAAATGACGCCAGGCAGGAGGAATGGTCGGCTAGCTAACGCAGCTAGCAAAGCTAACTGGTTTGTCTCTATAACTTACTGTCTTCAAGTTTACTCGAGTGAAGCTAAAAGCTAAGTTGTGGCATCTGTTTAGTTAAAGTTTAATGGTTTATATTTGGGTTTCTCAGTCCGCTGCAGTTTGTTTCTGGAGCTCAGAGCTGCTGGTGACTGGAGCCTGAAAGCACTGCAGCTAACTGAGCTAATTGAGTTCACTTCCGGCGCAGTTACACTGCGTTAGTATGAAGATGCGTTCAGGGAGGTGTGTTTTACACGTGATTTATAAAATCAGATTTAAACTGCTTTTTGACAGTGATGAACTCTGGTGTCAGATCAGAGGATAGGTTCACATTTTTTTTTTTTTACACTAACTGACAGTTACTTCATGTTAATATTTGGAACAGACAATTAAGTGTAATGAAATGATCAGAAAAATATGGAAAATAGTCGACAAGACATTATGGTATCAATTTAGTCACGTGAACAAATAAAATTAAATATACAGTTTGCAACATATTCTCATTTAACAGTTTAGATTAATTTCGTTTTTTAGATACATAAATAGACTTAATTGTCATTCAAATTCACATGATCATCAGTGCACATAAAAATGAAATTCTATTGCATTTGACTCTCTGAATAAAATATGGATAAGACTATACATCTGTAGCAAAAGTGCAAGTGCAAATAATTGATCTAAAAATAAATATGAAAAAAAAAGGGTTTTAATATGATTAACGTGGTTTCCGTCATAGTTTGTGTTGTATGACAACTCCCAAAAAATACTGTTGTATACTCTTTCTATTTCAGTACGACCTCTCATAATTTGTACTTGATAATTGTTTTTTATGTCCAAGTATTATATATTTAGTTTTATTACATCCAGTGACAACTTGTAAATGTTTAACTATCGCGTGTTCCTTGATGTGTCTGATTCTTTTTCCATTGTATCCAGAAGTTGCTCACAGTTTTTACTAGAGCAAAACAAATTTGTATCACTAGCAAACAAAACAAAATTAAACAACTTTGGCGCATTACAGATATCATTTATATATATTATAAACAATTTTGGACCCAGCACTGACCCCTGTGGAACCCCACCTATAACCCTCAACAAGTCAGACTTATTATTATTTTGTTATTGATATTACTATCGTGAAATGTGATTCAAAGCTTAGCATCTAATCACTAAAATTAAATTTAAATTAGCTTGTTAATTAAATATAACAAAAAAATGTCCTAATATCAAGTTGAGTTGTGATTATTTCTAAACTAATGTCACAGTTGTGTTTGATTATTGGTTTATTTGTTCAGTTGTTGACTTACATTAATGCATTTATTATTGTGACAATTTTACAAACTGATTTATTTCGTTAATATTTGCCATTTGTAATGCGCTGTTGGAATGTTATTTATAAACGTGCGGCCCTGAACGCACCAGTTGTGTGTCATCGGAATGCGGCCGGTGGTTTCCGATGTTCGTCAAGTTACCGCAGCTAATTAATAACATTCCGGTTAATGAAGCTTTTGTTTTGTCGAAATAAGAGAACAAAGCAAAACGAATAAATGACCAGTAGTGTCTTGGCTTGTGATTTTGACCTGATGTCTTTTTAACGGACAAATAATTTTATATCCGTTTTTCCTACAGTCTGCTGTCTTGTTTAATCGATCCTACTTTTATTGTGAAACGCTCTGACCGGAAGTGCGGTGTGTTGTTGTGTGTAGCTTGATGCCGGTCTGAGCCGGACCTTGATGCGGATCTTCAGCTTCAGGCTTTTAAAAGTTGAGACACGTCTGAGGTAACGAAGCAGCTGTTTAAATCACATTTAAAGTTCGGTAAACCAAAGATAAACGTTAGCTTAACTTCGCTAACACGCTGCGGAGAGCTCGGTGTCGCGGTGAAGCTAATCAGCTAATTAGCTAGCAAGTTGTAAATAGTAGTTGCTGCTGACTGGAGGACCCTCAGCTAGCTAGCTAGCCTAGCTTAGTTTAGCTTAATCTCAGCTTCTCTGCCTCCTCAAGACTCACATTAAATCTGGGAAATACAAGGTTTGACCCTGTGGACACCCGGCAGTGGGAATAACCAGAGGTATAAATTTGTGCTTTGTGTCAAGGTGATTGTTACATGCGTTTACCACAGTGTTTTTACTTGTTATAAACATGTTATCTAACGTTAAGTTACCTGCAGAACTAAATGTACGTCTTCTCTCAGAATGATTTGGAATACCTGTTTTTCTCTAATGCAGTAACCAAGTGTTACAATTACTATTAATAGCTCTGTGCTCGTATATGAGATGTTGTACATAAATCACAGATTGTTTTACCACTGAATAGAAAATGAGCCTTTTATTTTGAAAGTGGTTTCCAGTGATTACAAGCAGCTGTGTTTGAGTAGAAACATTTTCTAACATTAAATGCGATGTATATACTTAAATGCTGTGACAAGATTTTGTCTGCTGATGTGTTACACCCATTTCTTTCATGGGGAAATAGTTTTAGCATGAAGGAAGGGGGTGGCTCCTTTTCAAGGTCCACAAATCAGGCAAGAAACATGCAGTGAGGTCATTTATTACAAAATGAGAAACCTTATTCAGCTCCATGTTGATATAATTTTTAGAAGCCACATGTGTCCCACATTGAAGGAGTCATTGGACAGCTGTAATCATCCGTCCTGTTCATACTGGTCCTGCAGTGATCCCTAAAGTCTACAGTCCTCGTTCCTGCAAAAATGCATGTTAGTTCAAGTAAATTCAATTAAAGTCAAGTCAGATTTATTTACAGAGCACATGTACAAACAACAAATGTTGACCAAAGTGCTTGACAAAGACATAAAACAAAACACAGGAATGATCAAATCAAACCAGTCATAAATAGGAGACTGTGAGTAAAATTAATAAGAGCATTTAATACTTTGACACAAACATAACATATAAATAGGATGCACAACCAACAAAATGAAACACAGAAACTACATGTGTGAAGAAGTGTGGTCAGGTATGACATCATAATGACTTGCAGTGAAATTTAGTCATGCCTAGCTCCAGAAATGAGTAGTCAAAATAGAATAAAATATCAGCTATAGATTAAAATAACCAAACAAAATATGTGATAAACAAAAGACTATTTTATAAAAGAAACAATGAAGCAGTAAGCCACAGAGACATGAAATGAAAACAATGAGTTTCAGTCAGTTGAAACAATACTACAACATTTCCTCTGTGTCGCTGTCGCTCCTCCAGTGCTCACCACAGAAACACAAAGATAAAATTTCATACTAAGATAACTTTTGGAAGGTACCAGCTTGCTTTGTCTAACTCAGACTGCTGAAGCCTCATGTTCACTTCAACCTAAGGCATGTTTACACAGAAAGACAACCACGGATTTTGAAATCTTAAATTGAAGTCACACTTGGATGTGGTCTTTTCACAGTTAATGTGGACGGGAGGAATGATTACCTTATGGGAGTATTGTATTATGTTAAACTGGGAAAATCTGGAGCATCTTTTAAATGACATGACAGGATATTTAATGAGCCATATTAACAAACAAATGTATGTAATTTTGGCTTGAAGGGGCCTCTCAATCCTACCAGAGGAAATAAGACAACAAAAATGGAAGTTCAACTCTGCGACTTCTAACATATAACTACAACTATTCACTCTACCTACAGTGTTCATGGGTTTTTGCCTAGTATTACAATCAGAATAAGAAATATGTCATTGATCCCAGAGGGGAAATTATGATTGGTTACAGTCACTTCGATGTAAAGAAGAGAGAAATATAAGATGTAAGAGTATGAAATAAAAGTATGTAAATATAAAGCAGTACAATTAAAATAGAATCTGCATTATGCTACCATGTTTAACACTAGTGCTTAAGATATTAAAAGAATAAAAATAGAATATATATCGTCACTGTGCTGAGGCTGTAAGGGAAATGTAACTATACACCTATAGAATAAAACAAGAATAGAAGAAGAGTAAACTTTAGAAATATGTACAGTTATGTGCGTTATAAAGTTGTAAATAATATTTTGATGCGGGGCAGCAAAAAACTGGAACAAACATCTTGTAGACTAGTTGTAAGAATGTTGTTCTTGCCGCCAGCTGCCAACCTGAGCTGAAGGTGTAGTGAGGTATAAAGTTAGAGAGGGTGGCAAGCAGACGCTCCCCTGGCCACTCCCATGCTCCAAGCCAATCCTCCACAGCCACATGTGCAGCCAGGACGTTTAGAGACGCAAAGAACAAAGCAGAGCAGCCAAAACAATTAGGGTTTAAAATTAAGAGTTGTAACTCTGACGTTTGAGTCATTTCCATATCATACTAATAAACCAGTGACCGGAGGATGTTAATGGCTGCAGGGTTGGGTAGACTAGTTATATAATGTCCTGTCTTCATCACACAGCAGTGCACAACTCATCTGCACAACAACAACAAGGAACAAGGAAGCAATAATGTTCATGCCTTTGTGTTCCAGCTGATCCTGCACTGCTGATTGTTGCACTGGGAGGACTTGTGATGGGGCACAGGGTTGTCCGCGGGGTTCTGCGGCCTCGTCCCGCCCAGCTCATGATGCCACTGCTGCTCCTCATCGTCCTGCTGGCGGCAGTTTGGGCAGAGAGTCAAGACTACTACAGTCTGCTGGGAGTCAACAGGGAGGCGACGACCAGAGAGATACGACAGGCCTTCAAGAAGCTGGCGCTCACTATGCACCCCGACAAAAACCCTGTGAGTCACTCTGAGAAACCAACAACCATGAGCTCGGATACGACCCTCAAACCACAAACCCCCATTTAAACCTGGAAGTACCCAGAATCCCTGATGACACTCCTGTCAGTGTACAGAATGCCCTAATGAAAGTGTTGTGTTTTAGGGCGACGCCACAGCTCATGAGAAGTTCCTGAAGGTGAACCGAGCGTACGAGGTTCTGAAGGACGAAGACCTCAGGAAGAAATATGATAAATATGGAGAGAAGGGGCTGGACGAGCAGCAGCAGGGAGGACGCTACGAGAGCTGGAACTACTACAGATATGACTTTGGTGAGTCTCTGTTGTGAGAGCGATGACGCTACGAGACCAACACCCTCTGTTTGTGTTTGTGTTTTCGATCAGACATTAAGATATTGTCTTTGAAAGCAATAAATGCATTTCAACGTGAAGAAAAACTGAAATGTGTTTTTCTGTCCAGGTATCTACGACGATGATTTG